TCTGAATGGGTGGGGCTTGTGCCCCCCACACCGCTGAACCCGGACTTCAGACTTTAACTCTGCGGCCTGCCCCACCCAGCGCTCTCCCGCCTGCCCGCTACGCTACGTCCAGTCGTTACCCCCAGCAGTGGATACCTGGCCTCTCCCCCCTGCCTGAACCTGTGTGTGTGCACGTGTGTAGTAAAGGAACAAAATAAAACTGGGTCCAGCAGTAAATTCTTGCTCCATCTCCTGGCATCTTCAATTGCCCAAGGAAGGCTCCGATTTTCCTTTTCTTTCAGCGGGATGAGATACTGAGCGGAGGGGGAGGGGGAAGCAGTCTTTGCCTTGATGCTGTGCAGGGAAAGTTCAAGGCTGCGGCAGGGCCCCGCACCCCCAGCCCAGGGCGACAGCAGCGGGTGGTGCCAGGGGCCTGGGTGTGGGCCGTGACCCTACTTAATGAAGGAGCAGAGCGCGGGGGGCGGGGGAGGCGAGGAGGAGGCTGCGGTGACCTGGGCCAGGAGGAGGCTATCACAAGATGAAAGTGGCCCTTCTCCCATTCCTCCCCCCTCGCTGCTGTCAGCACTTTTTAATGTCAAATGCTGTGAGTGATCGTCGGGTGAGTTTCTGTCCAAACTTTCCCAGGCCCCAGCCTGCTGGATTCATTGCTTGGCGGGGAGGGCGGGGGCCGGTGCGGGTGGGCTCAGTGACTCTCGTCTCACCGGGGGCCTTTCAGATCCTTCCCTTTTGGATCAAGCGTGTATCATCTCCCCACCCCCGCCCTGTCTCAAGAACTGCCCCTGCCCTGCCAGGACAGCTGGGTACCAGGCAGAGAACCTCACTGGGCACTTGACGACTCCCTCCGCATGGCTATTAGCACTGGACTGGCATGCAGTAGACCAGGCCTCCTCCCGTAGCCTTGGGAAAATCACTGCCTGGCTCCGTGCCTCAGTTTCCCCCCACGATGGGCTGACGTCCCCTTGCTCCTGCTGACGGCAGTGGTTTGCAAGAGCTGGGCATCGCCCTCCCAAAGCCGGAGCGCTGGTTCGTTTCTGGCTAGAGCTCGCTGCTGGGGGCAGGGTTGGTGCAGGGGGTGGGAAGCCGGCGTAGGGAATTGCTTGTCGCACGGTAGCAGCCCCCAGGCCCAGCCATGGCGGAGGGCCCCGGGGCGCAAGGCGCTGTACAAACCCAGAGCCACGAGATGGTCCCTGCCCCAGGGAGCTTCCATTCGGGATCGATCTGCACGCGCCTCCTCGCTGAGCGTCAGAGCTGCCGGAGCAGCAGAGACCGGCGTGTCTGCCAGGGCAAACAGCCAGAGCCCCGCGC